TCAATAGAGACACACTGGTTGAGTGGAGCCCAAGGTACCAGGGTCTAAACCAACTCAGAGAAAGGGAACGAGGCTAATAACGTGTAACCCTTACCATACAGGATTTCAGAAATGTGCGCAAAGTATAATGTGCACACTTACCACTATGTGGATTTTAGAAAGTGCACAAAGTGCTCAGAGTGCCCACTTACCACTATATGGATTTTAGAAAGTGCGCAAAGTGTTCAACGTGCACACTTACCTCCATGTGGATTTCAGAAAGTGCACAAAGCTTGGCATGTGCACTTACCATAACATGGATTTAAGAGCTTCCCAAGCATCTGTTCACAGATACCCGGAAGTACTGAGCCAAACGGGAGAAGCTAGCTCAAATACAACCCTCTAAGGCGAGGGGAGCACTGCCTGAGACAGCATTACACAAGAAGGTTCTCGCAAATGCCACCTATACTTCCCGGTCAATGCCTCAGCAAGAGGGGATATCCTGGTGACCAGGAAGCCCCTCAGGGCGACCTAGATACTGTGTACCAGACAGGGCAGCCTGAAAGCAGAAGCCCAGCCCGGAAGTTCAGGAAATTTTGCAGTGACGTGCCGGGGGCCTGATGATCAAGAAGGCTCCTGCAGAAGCCTGTGACCTGGCCGCATGATCCAGGAAGCATGAAGCCGAAACCAGGCTATCATACCGTCTGGACACCATATCAACGAGTGAAGTAAACACTGCAAGTCGAGCACCCGGTTTGTGAATCCAGCAGAGGGTGGTGCTCACCGAGGACATACCCTAGAAAAAGGACAGAAACACACAGGTCCTGGAAAACACTGCAAAGAAAGCTAGCAGATGGATTATACACACAACCACCAGCGCACTAAACACACACAAACACACACACAGACACACACACACATATACAGTATACATATACAGTGGGGCAAAAAAGTATTTAGTCAGCCACCAATTGTGCAAGTTCTCCCACTTTAAAAGATGAGAGAGGCCTGTAATTTTCATCATAGGTATACCTCAACTATGAGAGACAAAATGAGAAAAAAAATCCAGAAAATCACATTGTAGGATTTTTAAAGAATTAATTGGTAAATTCCTCGGTAAAATAAGTATTTGGTCACCTAACAATTGGTGGCTGACTAAATACTTTTTTTCCCCACTGTATATATATATATATATATATATATCTTTAGAAATGGATCGTACTCGCCCACCATGGTTCCCGCGCCGGAGCCCTGTTCAAAAAGCAACCCGAAGAAGTCTCTAGTCCAGACCATCAGTAAGGTGGTCACTATGAAGCCATAGAACCAACCAAAACATCATAGGTCCAGCATAGGAGACTGCAATGCAGGAAGTTCCCATCTAACTTCGGACAGGTGGAGATATGGTGGTTACAGGGGAATTAGGAAGGGGGAGATAAGGGCAGATGTAAAACCCCCGAAGGAAATGAGTACTCAAGTATCACTCTGATCCGAACGAAAGCGCTGACGCCTTTTCTGGATCACATCCCTTAGGTCTTGCCTACCTCCCTTTGACCCGCGATTCCTCCAACCCGCAGGCGGGGGAGGAGCGCGAGCTGCGACACTAGCCTTCTGTGCCCATCTCTGATCCTCAAACCGAGATGGGCCAGGACCCCTGGGTTTTTCAGGCTCAGACCTGGACCTTCGTGGATTAAAGGATTTGAAGGTCGCTGAGCGCGCCTTTGCCTCCCTGAACTTCTCGACCACTGTCTCAACGGAGGTACCAAAAAGTTTGGAAGGCAAAACCGGAGCATCGAGAAGAAAGCCCCTCTCTTTCTTCCCAATATCTGCCATGTTCACCCACAGATGTCTCTCCGTCACTACCATAGCCGCCATGGACCTGCCCACAGCAGAGGCGGCCTGCTTAGTAGCACAGAGAGCGAGATCCGTGGTGCGGTGCAACTTAGCTACCTCATCGGGAGAAAGGCCCTCGCCTTTATCCAGGTCTTTCAGCAGGTCAGCCTGATATGCCTGGAGCACCGCCATTGTGTGCAACGAAGCGACAGCCTGACCTGCTGCTGTGTATGCCCTGCCATTCAAATCGAGATGCATCCTGATGGGGCTTAGATGGCAAGGAGGGAGTTTTAAGAGAGGACGTCTCACCTACTGTATAGAGAGATAGCTGGCCAGCATCTCTTCTACAGTGGGCATCTTCTCATAGCCGTTTTCGCGCATCGCCTCGATGTTGGCATAACTCGTATGCTGGAATCGATGGATGCGTGAGGAAAACGTCCTCTTCCATTCCTTCTCGATCTCTGTATGGAGATCAGGAAGAAAAGGAAGATCGCTCTTACCACGGAAATGCACGCTTCAAACAAAACAGTCAGTGAAGGCGAAGAAGAGGATGATGTGTTCTCCCGGTGCCTATTTATACTATAGTCGCACTGGTAGTGACGTCATGGCTGTCGCTGGCCAACGTGTTGTTGGTGTTTTTTCAATGTATGCTTCAGACACGGGTCACAACGAGGAGTTCCCCATAGCGACCCCTAGAGGACAAGAACCTTTTGTGGAATGGAAATATTCTTCATGGAACCATCATAAGAATCTTTATTTTTAAGAGTGTAATGATATACATTTCAAACAGTCCTATGTTGTGGTCCTGTGACCTCATTGTGTAGCATGTTTAATACAGCAAGTAACATCGAGCTGAGTTGTCATCTCTGAAAAAACTGTAATTTTGCATTTTTAATCCCATTGTTTAAAAATGTCATCATTTTAAAAATGTAATGTTAAAAATCACAGCACATATATTCTCTAGTTTATTCCTTACACTAGAAATTAAAAGTCAATTTGAATGCAATTACATTATAGTGGCATTCTTTATCTCATTATCTTTATGTAGTATCCCGTGGTTGCATATTTTGGCAAATAAAATAGAAATAAAACAAACAAAAAACAAATAAATAGCATACTGTGCACAGTGATCTCTCTGGGCTGAGTTACTGTTTAGTTCGGAATGGAGATGGAAATTGTAATGTAATACTAAACAGTTTTATTTTTGTAAAATAAAGGCAATTGCAGAGTAGTTATTTTGATCATTTGTTATTTGTTTACTGCACTCATTCTATTTCATTTAAGGCAGGGGTGTCCAAAACTGTTCCTGGAGGACCACTATCCTGCAGAGTTTAGTCCAACTCTAATTAAACACACCCAAACCAAAGTAATCAAGGTCTTCAGATAATAAAAAGAGTCTAAAGCTCTGATTATATGGGCATTTCATGCTAATTGTAACCCTGTGATACTACAGCATGAGACAAAGCAGTGTCAAGACAACCAAATAATCCTGATGTTTTAGAAAAAACACAATGCAGTGTTTAGTTAGTTTCACTTCACAAGTGATATAGTGCTTTATTTAGTTCTTACAACTTGAATGGAAAATACATTTTATTAACATACATGATTAAAGCAAGAGCAAGAAGACAAACACACAGTAAATACCAAAAGAAGATGCAAGACTATCAAAAACACAATATGCATTGTGTACATGGATTGTAAATATAGATGAAACAATCAAATCGTCTCTATGATCATATCTATTGGACAGCGAGAGGATAGATTAATACAGGAACATAAGCCTATTGCTATTTTCTTATAATATTCATTATTCTGAAAGACATATTAGTAATGCAACAGTTATGTAAGATGAATATGTACCCAGTGGTACTGTATCAGCGGTTAGAAGGATCATGTGTTGTGGTGACACAAATCTTGATTTAAAATGTCATGGATTATGAATATATGCATGTTATGATTAATAATTTAAACAATAAGATTCATAATTATGGGTAATATATCCAATTCACCAACTGTTGGTAAATTTTTTTAATTCTAATGCTGATGAAAGTTGTCTGAGCATTCATCATATAGATCCATCAACAGAACCTGAAATTATACAAATTAATTCACTAGTATAAAACATGTATCTTCGTAAGTGCCTTATATTATGATATTTTGCATTGTTTTTAGTTTATTTCACCTTAAATCTTCAGTTTGGAGTAAACAGTGTCAGATCTCTCCTTTCCTAACAGATGACAAGAGTGGCTCATACATTTATTTCACATTTATCTTATTATACATGCATTTATTTTCCTGTATTATGTTACAACAAACAACTGCAAAAGACATCTCAGCAGGTTTGGTGTCATACATTGGTTTTCTTTCTTAAATTCATTCATTGATTTCAGGTCAATCTTTACATCAGAAGGTCCATATGTCTGCATTTAAAAAATAATGAATGAGAGACATTTTCCTCTCTTTTTCTGGTTTTAGTTTTTCAGTTGTTTGTATTTACTGAGTTTATTTTTTTGTTCTAAACTAATGATGGCTACTATTTTAGTTGATGCTCAGTAGAGGGAGACGGAGATCCTGCACCTACTCAAACACAGAGAAACCTCAGGAATGATTCACAAACAGCTTTCCTGTCCTCAGATTATGACAGATATTTATATAAAATTATCTTTAACCATAAAACGCTTCCAAAGGTCATTATAGTTAAGACCGTCTGTATAAGTAGTCTATGCTGATTTAAAGAGATGAGATGAACCTTTGTTGTGTTTGCAGCACCACAGCAGGGCCAGTAAGAACATGAGCAGAAATGTGACACTCAGTCCTGCAATCACTCCAATTATCAGAGCATGAGCTTCGGAAAACTCTAGTCCTGAAGATCCTGATGTTTTAAAATAAAAGGTCAGTAGGTCAAATTAATCAAGTTGGTCAAGTTAGCTACCCTTGTAGCTCATCATCTGCAATTTGATTGTGACATGTTTTAGCCTGAAGTAAACCCATTTATTTATTAAAATAGCTTTTGTTTAAGTTATTTATCTGCAGATTTACTACATATGATATAAAGTAAATAAGTAGCGGAGCATGAATCAATGCACATTACTTTAAACATTAAACATGTTGGTTAAGGTTTCTTATTTGTTATTTATAGACATTTTTGCTCATGTAGTCAGAGTGATGTGAACAGATATAAACACACTCACCTGATACGGTCAGTGTAACTTTATCACTGGTGTGTGAGTATCGTGATCCTCCTGTTTCTCTTCCAGTACAGCTGTAATTACCTGTGTGAGATTCGCTAACAGAACTGATCCGGTATTCCTGCGATTGACTGACATTAATCACTGAATCATCTTTATTCCAGCTGTAGCTCCAGCTGGTGACGTCTGTCTCCTGTATGTCACATGTGAGAGTGACCGTCTGTCCTCTGAACACACGTCCATCAGGCTGGACACGCACTACAGGCTTGGGTCTCTCTGTGCAAAATAAACTGAAGTTTACTTTAACCGACAGCACATGATATTGTGGATGGGGAAAATTAATCTTCATAATATTATTGTAAACTGAAAATCAGATTGTCTTGTAAAAATAGCACTGACCTCCTACTGTTAGCACGACTCCTTGGCTTTGTGTGGTCTTTTTTTCTACAGTACACGCATATCTTCCTCCATCAGAGACTCTCACTTTTCTCAGTGTTTCTGTTTCAGAACCAGCTTTTATTCTCTGAAAGTTTTTGAACCAGTAAATTGTCCGTCCAGTTGATCGTCCCTCATCACAGATGAGAGTAACTGTGTCTCCAGTGAACACTGAACTCTGGGGCTTTACAGTTAATTTGGGCTTGTCTGTAAATATTTCATGATACATCATTACTACTTCATGAGTCATCATCTATCACTGCATTTCTGGTATTTGTATTGAGACTGGGTTGTTTCTACTGTAGATGCTGTATGTTAGACAGACTGAATGTTAATTGTGTCTGCTTAATCTCAATACCTGACATTAACTAACCACATAACGTGTATTACATTATTCATGTTACTGCCATATGGAAATTTGGCTGATAATAAAATGCTTCCTATAATTGTAACACTGAAAGTTGAGCACCCAAGTGAGTTCAGCACCCAATCTGAGGAGCCATGTCTCACAGGATTTGTGTCTTCATGTGTCGTCTTTATGAGACCTCTCATGTTAGAAGAGCATAAAACAGCCATACAATTATATTACTCATAATGACAAAGTCATAAGTTGACGGGCAAGGCAAAATTAAGAAATATTTAATATAAATAACCCAGAATCAATAGATTAAATGTTGTGACTATGTCATGAACTGCCGTGAGACTGAGTTGCTCTAAATGTTTACTAGTAGTTTTTTCTCAGTTGGAGTCAATTCATTGTTTATGCATTTAAGCAAGATCCTGATGTGTATCAGTGATGATCACTCACCCAAAACACTCAGAGTCACAACATCACTCCATTCAGAGCAGAATGATTCTCTGCAGCCTTTACACTTGCATGACTGTTTGAGCTGTACAGTGATCTTGAACTCTTTCTCCCCAGAGTTGTGCTGTTCATCTCCACACTGCCATGTGTATGTCCAATCTTCCCCCTGTATGTCACATGTGAGAGTGACAGTCTCTCCTCTGAATATCTGTGATGGTTCAGGCTGAACAGTCAGACGAGGTTTAGGTGCCTCTATAAGAACCGAACAAACAGAAGTTATGCTAAAACATCCAAAGAAGCCACAATAATCTACACATCTACACGTGTATCAGTGTTTATTTCTTGTCTTTGTCCAGGAATGGTGCAATACATTGTAAACACTGATCTGTTCCTCTGAAGCCTCTTGCCCTGCATGATGAGAACAATAAACTCACTTTCTTTACAACCACCTTTTTTTCTCTGTAAATAAAAGCCTCTCTTAACATGTTATTATCTTTAAGATCATAATGTATATGCATTATATTTGGTATCATAATATAAATGCATTATATGGGTGAATATTTGAAGAAATATATAAATCACCTTGAGTGTGTGCAGGGCGGATGTTTGAAATCAGCACTGAAAAGTGAAAAGAGACATTTATTGATTAATTATTAGATTTAGTTGCTTCTAAATAGAACTACATGAATATCTTCAAAAGCTTTTGAAAGGAATTCCACGAGAAAAGCATAGTTTGAATCGCCATTTGAATAGTTTACACTGATTAAAAGTTTTAGAGAGAAATTAGCTCTTTTATAGGAGACTAATTCAAAATAGCAACTACAGACAGTGTCAATGGTATTTTGATACAACAGATTTTAGACCAGTTTTATATTGTTAATGAGCAGAATTGCTCGGCTCAACTCTTTCTATCTTCTCTATTCTATCAAATCAGATCAATCTATCTCTATTCTGAAGCAGGGTGAAAGATTGAAGACAACATCTATGTGCATTGCTAAGAATACCCTTACGAAAAATATGTTTATTCAAGTGTGCTATTAGTATACTTCTTTTAAACTAAAAATAGGAAAGTATATTTTAGTCTACTTTTTATGTACTTCACAGAAATGGGCTTTATGCACTTCTCAGAAATATACTTAAAATTACATTTAAGTATACTTGACTTATACTTAGAAAAAGTCTAAATATATTTTAACTATAATTGTGCTCCTAGAATCCGTGTTTTCATTGTTATACTGTAGGGAGCGCTAGTACACATCTTCTGGACAGAATTTCCAAAAAACACAAGAGAAGAAGAAACCGAAACAACAGATGCTTCCACATGTAATCTAACATGATCATCAGACATAAAACAGCATCAAAACTATGTAACATTATGGAATAAAATGTCGACCAATGAAGAGGTAGTAATGACTGTCAAGCTTTGGGGTGTTGATCAACTTTATCTTCGTTTTGATTATAATTCTGAATCCAATTCATAGTCTTTTTTCAGCTTTTTGTTCAAAGTGTTGTCTATTTGTTTTTTTAGTCCCAAGGAGTATTGAAATAGTACACTTACAAGTATACTACTAGTACACTGATATTTGTATACTTACTACATAAAGTATACCTAAAAATATACTTGAACTTTACTTAAGTATACTTACTAAAATAAACTTGAAGTATACTACTTTTTGGTAAGGGTATCAATGTGAATGTAAACATATTAAATGCATAAGACGATGAAATACAGATGAACACTGATTCACTACATCATTACACAAAATAAGAAATTAATGCATAATTGAGGAAATTATACTCACAGAGCATTAGAGGAAGTAGACTGAGCGCCATACTGATCTATTAATGACAGTCAAACACACAGACTGTTTTATACTCAACACTTCCTACAAATAAGGAAGACAATGACTCCCCTGTAAAATGTGTCATCCTGTCTTTTGTGATCATTTTTGAGAATATGGAAGATTATTTATTAACAAGTGATATAATTTAGTGTGTGTGTGTAATCAACACACACACACACACACACACACACACACACACACACACAACTTATAAGAACATACAAAACTCTCATCAGACATGTTCATTCATGGACTTTATACTGATGGTTTGTTAGGGTGGGATACAAAGCTACATCAGACTGAATGAGAAGGGATTTATTTTAGTGCTGGATCTAAATCGCGGCTTTATGCGAATCGTTTTTAAACCTATCGTCAGACTTGTCAAATAAGGCAAGGCAAGGCAAGTTTATTTATACAGCACATTTCATACACAATGGTAATTCAAAGTGCTTTACATAAAAGAAAGTAAAATAATCACAAAAATAAAACAAGGAATTTAAAAACTTAAAAAATGATAAAAACATTTATGTAAAAAGATTTTAAGACAGTTAAAAATCGAAAATGATTATAAATACATAAAATACAGTGCAATCAGTTCGGACATCGCACAGTGCTCATTCAATAAATGCACAGCTAATAAGATGAGTTTTGAGTCTAGATTTAAATGTGACTAATGTTTTAGCACATCTGATCTATTCTGGAAGCTGATTCCAACTGCGGGCGGCATATTAGCTAAAAGCAGATTCCCCTTGTTTTGTGTGAACCCTTGGTATTTCTAACTGACTCGATCCTAATGATCTGAGTGGTCTGTTAGATTTACTGTATATTCAGTGAGCATATCTGCTATGTATTTAGGTCCTAGGCCATTGAGTGATTTCTAAACGAGTAAAAGTACTTTAAAATCAATCCTAAATATAACTGGAAGCCAGTGTAAGGAGCTGAGGACTGGTGTGATATGCTCAGATTTT